GTTTTTTTTTTTTTTTTTTTTTTTTTTTTTTTTTTTTTTTTTTTTGATACCAGGGATCAAACTTGGGACCTTGCGCTAAACTCAGGAACCACTGAGCTAAATCTCCAGCCCAGGACAGGGTCTTCTGACCCAGAGATGGCAGGAATGAGGCTGGGCCAGATACTTCAAGCACACACACCTGTACAGGTAAAGCTTTACTTGGGGGAATGAGGGCTTCAGCCAAATTGGGGCCGTGACTGAAGAGAGCAAGCACTTGGCCAAGGGGTGACCGTGTTGGTGCTCACAGGACAGAGGGCAGCAGGTTTTTACTTACGTGCTGGAGTGGGCTGGAGTCTGGCAATTTCCACCAGCCAGAGGCACAGTTGCAAAAATGTTTCTTGTGCAGACTGTGTCACTCAGCTGGTCCTAAAGGCTGTTAATTTTCCTGAATCTGGCACCATCGTCTTGACCAAACACATTTTGGCTTTCTCTTGTTGGACTAACCAGTGGTCAGCTTCGCTCAGGAACTGCTGAGCTCCTCTCTCCGCTGTGTAGACATCTTCATCATATGATGGGGTCAAGACCGTCAGTGCTTGAGCTGCTGAAAAGCGCAAGGAAGGGTGGGCTGGAAGGTGAGCAATGGGCCGAGTGAACCCTGTACCAAGGTCTTGGACAAAAGCTTTCTTAAACGATCAATGTGCGGAGCTGAGTAGAAGCTTGTGGGAGCCCGCCGGCATTTGACACTGGAAAAGTAACATCTACCATTGAGGCACTGACACAATCTATGGCTCTATTTGGCTTTTCTGAGACAAGGGTCTCAGCTATACAGATGAGATTGACCTGGAACTCACTGTACAATCCAGACCAGATTATGGGCCTTGACCCGGAGCTCACTGTGTAATCCAGACTGGTTTTATGGGATTACGGGCATGCACCACCACGCCCAGCTCAAGGAGTTTGTTAAATTTGACCTTGTGATGGGAGGAACTCAGATAGCCAAAGGTCTGATCTCCTCCCTAATAGTTGCTTGGTGCTTCCTGTTGGCCTGCCTTTAAAAGGAGCTGTTTCTGTGTAATAAATCGGACTTCTTGTCTCCACCCTATTGAGTGTGCTGTCATTTCTCAAGCCTCACTCCCCAACTCAGGTACGTTCGTGTTGTGACGGCTGGACTGCCACAAAGCTGACTAAAGGGTTAACTAGCATGCGGGCAGACGTAACATGAAGACACGATTCCAACCTTAGTCCCACGTTAGTCACCCTTCGGACACCTGGGGCCCAGGTGAAGCAAAGTGGCCTTCAGTGCTAGGGAAGCAATCCAGGCAACTGTGACTATAATCACACCTAGAGCGGTGCCAACTGTAGCAAAGCTATCAGGGAACTAATGCATTGCCCAGCTGTGTGACCTCCAAAATTAGTGATTTTTCCAAGTGTGGTGGTGCAAACCTATAATCCCAGTGCACAGGAGGCTGAGGCAGGAGGATTTCCAAGAGTTTGAGGCCAGCCTAAATTAAATAGTAAGACTTTATCTCAAAAAAAAAAAAAAAAAAAAAAAAAAAAAAAAAAAAGTGATTTTTTTTTTTTTTTAAAGTAGACAAAGAGCAAGTGAAACTCGAGGGAGGCCTGATTTAGTTTTTTTTTTTTCAGGGTAACAATTTTTCATTTCAGGCAAACATTGTGTACTTATAATTTTTTTAAATTTTTCATTTTTTTTTGGTACTGGGAATTGAACTTGGGACCTTGTGCTTGGCAAGGCAGGCAGCAGAACCACTGAGCTAAATCCCCAGCCCCCTAACATTCTGTATTTATGATTTTATCGGTTCATGATAAAATGTGAGTTTCTGTGGAAACACACCGAGCTACGAATGATAATTGTTTATTGTGCCCCAGAATTTAATTTTTTCATCCCAGTCTCTGATCCCATCACTGTCCCACTGTGATGATCCCCAGATGTCACAAGAGAATTGCTGAGGTGCTGGGAGAGCTAGAGACTCATATTTGTGATAAATGGGCAGAAAATTGGACAACCAATCCAGTAATTGTCATTAACGCCAGACAAACACATACAGGAAAGTAAAAGCATCGGGCATGCACAGCTGAGCCGTGACCAGGTGCCATGGAATGTGGGCACTAACTGCAGCTGGGAGACTCGAGTGAGAAGACTAAGGGACAGGAAGTGCTTTTAACGCCAAGTGTTCTTCTGTTACCTGCACTGTCTCTATTTCCTGTAAGTCTTACAGTTTGTTTTGTACTTTGTCCTCTGTTTTCCACACTAGGTCTTTCTCTCAAATGTCTTAGCAACTACTTCACATTAATAAGCAATTTAGTAAAATGATGACCAGAAATGTAAATAGGCAGCGTGTAGGCCCGATTCTCCTGAATTTAGCTCTACTCTGACTCTGAGGTTCTTGGTTCTTTAATTCCTCACCCTTCCTGGGGCTCCGCTGCCCCAATCATCGTGCTGTCTTTGGCTGCTGATGCTCCTACTCACCTGCCCCCTCCTTCTTTTTTTTTTTTGCAATTCTAGGATTGAACCCTGAACCATTACATGGAAATACGTCCCCAGCCCTTTTTATTTTTTATTTTTTGACAGGGTCTCACTAAGTTTCCCAGGCCGGGCTTCATCTTACAATCTTCCTGCCTCGGGCTCCCAGAATTCTGTGACTGATGACAGGCAAGCACCACTATGCCTGGCTGGAATCTTCTTCCAAAGTCACTTGCTTTCAGCTTTTTCTGCCAAATAAGCTGTCTTAGTTACATTTTTTGTTGCTGAGACAAAATACCCAAGACCCAAAGTTAAAGTAGGAAAGGTTTATTTAGCCCACCAATTTGTAGAAGTTTCAGTTCATAGTCGGCTGGCCCCAAGGCAGGGTGACATGGCACAGGAGAAACTATCATGGTGGGCAGAAGGTAGCAAAAGCAACAAGGGACAACCACAGCTTTGTGTCCTTTGTATCTTATCCAGGCTACTCAAGGCAGGTGGCACTCACATCCTTAATCATAGCACTGCTGATCCTAGCATTGCACAAGGAATCAATCCCAGGGTCAAACACTCTAGATCCAGACACCTCTGAAAAATCCCCACCTTTAACCCCATGAGGTTTGGGGGACATCTAGACACAGGCCATAACATTCTGTCCCTGGCCCCCCAAAAATGCATGCCCATCCCTTTATGCAAAAATGGAGTGTTTAGTCCATCTCCAAGAGTTGCTAAAGTCCTAACAGTTTCAGCATTGCTGAAAAATCCAAGTCCAAAGTCTCCTCTGAGATTTAAGACAAACGCTTAGCCGCAAGCCCCTGTACAAATGAAAATAAAGTCAGACATTTCAACACCCAATGGCACGAGATAGACATTACCATTTCAAAAGGTACAAATAAGGGAATTCCAAAGAATGGGGAACAAAGCAAGTCCAAAATCCATCAGGGCAAACATCAATCTCCATAGTTCCATGTCCAGCATCCGAGGCCATCTGTGGCAAGGCGTGAACTCTAAAGGGCTTGGGTGGCTCCTTCCGCATAGCACTGCTGGTGGTTTCGGCTCCCATGGCTTCTCTCTTGGGCTGGCTCTGCTCCCTCCTTGCAATTTTCCTCAGACCATTCACACTCCTGGTTTCTCCAGACTTCTGGGGCCTCCACTGCACCTTTGGCTTCACACTCACACACTTCACACACTGCCCTCTCAGGGGCACCCTGCCTGGCCTTCCAGGCCTTCTGAAATCTGGGTGGAAGCCTTCTGGACTTCACGACTCTCACATTTTTGCAGGCATCTAAAACCGGCACCATGAGGATGATGCCAGGCCCTGCTGCCAGCTGGAGCAGTCGCCAGGCTTCCTTCTCTCCTGGCTGTAGGGGTCGAGTGGCTATGATCCAAATCCCAGGGAACAACTCCCCAGGCCACCACCATTCCAGAACATGGTGCTCCGAGGCTCTCTTCTCAAAGCACTCTTTCACTTTGCCACTGTGAGGCTACACAGGCTGAAATCCTCAGGCCATCTCCTCTGTGGTCTTCTGAAAGGCTTGGCTTTTTCTCACTAGTCTTTTCAGCAACCGAGTTGTCGTCTGTTCATCTTTGCAGGCCACAACTTTACTGGAGCTTCCTTTCTGGCCAAACTCACAACGTTTTGAATCATTCCGCTAGGCTCTTTGCTCTCGATTGTCAGTATAAATCCAACAGTAACCATGCCACAGCCTCAACATTAGACTGCCTTGAAATTTCTCCTGCCAGATTAATTAGGTTGCCAGCCATAATCTCAGTCTCAGGCAAAGTCTCTGGACAGGAGCAAAATGCAGATAAGCTTTCACCCAAGGCGTAACACACATGGTCTGGAGTCCAACAGCCAGTGCAGTCTTTCTTCCCAGCTGAAGCTTCCTGAGCCTGCTCTTTACCAGCGTTGTGGTCTTCTGAGCTCTGACCGGAATTTCCTCCCGTCAAGTATTGCCTCAGACATTCCAGCTCTACTGTTTCAGCCAGCGTCTCCAAACCTTTCCTAACTCTTCTCCTTCCCACAAGCCAGCTGCAAAGGCTCCCAAACCACATGGTCAGGTACATTCACAGCAATGACCCCACTCCTCTGGTTCCAGACAGGTGCAGCACCACTGAGCTACCTCCCCAGCTCTGGTTCCAAATTTTTAGTTGATTTTCTCTTGTTGCTGAGACAAAATACTTGGCATCCAAAGACAAGGGAGGAAAGGTTTATTTAGTTCACAGTTTCCAGAGGTTTCAGTCCATAATTGGCTGGCTCCAAGGCAGGGTAACATAGCAGAGGAGAAACAGTTCATGGTGGGCAGAAGGTAGCAAAGCAACAAGGGACAACCACAGCTCTTTCTATCCCTTATGTCTTATCCAGGCTACTTAGGATGGATAGCACTCACACTCTTGATCCTAGCATTGCACCATGAATCAATCCCAAGGTCACACACTCTAGAGGCAGGCATCTCTGAAAAAGCCCCTCCCATGACTGCATGAGGCTTTTTGGGCACAGCTAAACACAAGCCATAACACCTACCAAGAGTCCACAGATTCATCAATCGAAAAAAGAAATAAACATGTTTACTGTGATTTGTCCTAACAAATTCAAACTGACACCAACTGTTCATTTAATTATTTTCAAGTGTTCACAGCAAGCAACTCCTGTTAACCACGTAGTTGTATTCACTGTCATTATTCAACACCTGGTCGTTAGCAGCACCGACTCTCTTCCTTCATACAAGCTCAACTCAATCTTTGATTCTTCAGAGTTTCTCTTGAATTTTTAAAGTTTTATTGATGGTTACTTTGCAATCCCTTTTTCAAGTTCTCTTAGCATCTTAAAAAATTGTGTAGAAATGGAAAAATTTTATTAATTAAAATAACCTCAAATTACTTCACCTACTTCGAGCTTTCTCTTCTTGAATATTTGTCCTAAATCTTTTCAGGTTGAAGACTATAGAAGACATTTTCTGGGTAAAGTGGAGTAAAACTTCCTAGAATCTACACATCCTTCCTACCTGGAGAAACCCAAAACTAGGTGGCTCCAGGCCTCCCTGTGCTGTCCAGCAAGTGTAAGAACTGACCCTGGCTCAGATGCTCTGATTCAGGATTTTGAACATCGAAGAAGTAATGCA